AGATCTCTGCTATAAATCACTGGAAGGACTTCCAAATGCTTCTTCTGTAATTCATTATATGAGTGGGACAAACATCTGTTTCACATCTAATTTATGAAAAGACCCAAGACCAATTTACAAAGACCATGCTGAAACATCAGGCACATGAAGCAGCCTTGCTTGGAACAACATCTTGGTGTCTCTCCTCAGTAAGGGGTATCAACAGTGTGCTTACTTTGTAAGGAAGAAAATATTTCCATGCAGAAGTGCTTACAGGTGGCCCCTCCAGTTCCCGTAGTAGTTTTTTACTGCCTGAGTGCTCTCCAGAGCTGTAGCATGAGGTTCTATGTGTGTTTACTGCAAATTGGCATATTTGAAACTTTTTTTCAGATAGGATACAAAGTAGAAAACACCTGCTCCAGGAATTCTGTTGTATTGTGGGTATTGTGTCTGTAAACACATTCAGACCTGCATTTGAGACTCTCTTCTGGCAGGATGTATAAAGCCATTACAGGATGCTTTTGATACAAGGAAAGGATGGGGCAGGCAGCCATTGCTTACTGCAACACTGCAGCCATGCTCAATGCCAGTGGGTTTGGCTGTGCCCTTCCACAGGGGCTGCACAGCATCCTTCATCCTATTCCATTATCCTGTGTTGTGCCAGTGCCACCCTCCTGCATCTGCATCAGGGGCTGTGTTTTGGCAGAGCAGTGGGGAGGCTCTGGTGGAGGAGAATAAAGCAAAGAAGGTTCACTGGCTGGGGAGGTGCTGCAGGGAGTGGGGCCAGAGCAGTGGCCCTGCTTGGACAGGGTAATTCCCTTTGCACACTGTCCTGAGAGGATTATCAACATCTCTGACTGTGACAGTACATGCATGGGAGAGCATTTGCTGACAGCTCACCATTTATCTCAACACCTTTGATTTTTGGAGGTGAATGATGGCATTGCAGGGGAATGTGCCATCGTTCTGTGGCTGAAAGAATCCTCCTGTGCTGCCTGTGACCCTTGGGCACTTGTGCTGCTGTCTGTCTCATAACCAGCACAGTTGCTTTTACAGCCACACTGTGAGCTCTAGCAAAGAGTTGATGTGGCTGAACTCACTTTCATGTGGAGATGCTCTTTTCAGCATTTTAATTCCTGGTCCAGTTCCCCAAGCAGCAGCCAGGATACAGAAAAGTGGTAGAAGTGACTGTCATAGGAAATGTGACACTTGCAGTTTGTCATGTATTGTAATTGCAGCTAATGCCTTAGATTGATATAATGAATTTTGAATTTTAGCTGCATTGTGGACTGCTTCAAATTGTGGAGTTTGACTCCTTTCCCCTCTCCCCTGTTGTGTGGTGCTTTCCTGCCCATTTTTTTCCCGATACACGAGTCCTTCCAGTGCTGAAAGAGATTAGCTCATGGGTGCAACAGAAAGTAACAACTCAGTGTTTTCTTTTGGATCAGTGAATTAGTGCAACTTATTTGGTTCTATGATCACAAGGCAGGAAGGGAAAACAATCACATCTTTTAAGTAGTATTCTGCCATGAGTTGAAAGGGAAAAAAATCCTGTTTCTGTGTTACAGCTGGGGACCTCTCAGAGTGGGGAGATCACCACCTGCCTTATTTTGAGCTGCAGTGTGATATTTATTACAGTAGTTGTTGTTGTTTGACCTGTTTAGAGGTTAAATGCTTTTCTTGTGACTGCAGAAAAGCAAGGTAATATTCCGTGGTTTTCAGGGAGCAGGTTTAATGTTTTACCCAGAGGATCAAGACAGTTGTTCCATTTGAATTGGCAGTGATTTTACTAAAGAAATTAAATTTTCCTGAAAACTTTACTTCCAATGCAGTTATTTTCAGACAGGTTTGTTAGTGTACAATCTGTGTTGCTGGGGGTTTTGTGTTCCAATCTCCACATTATTTTTTGGCTTCTGTAACTTCAGTAATGGCAAGAGTCCTGAAGTCCTTCATTTTGCCTGGTGTCCTGGTAATGGGCTACCATGAGTTCTTTGCTTAAGCATTTGACTTTTTCCAAAAAGTTTCATGCCATCTGCTGTTGTTGATAGATAAGAACTCTTTCTCATTTACTTTCTTGAAGTTTCTCACCTTTTGTTCTCTCTTGATTTTTGCTGTTCTTACAGCACCACAAATTCTGCATTAGAAGTATACTCCAACATTTTTATGGAAATTGAATGTAATACTCTGTCCTCCCATAAGCTTCTGGTAATACCTAGATTATAATATACTGAATTTATCTCCAGACAGTGGTTGGTAATACTCTTAAAGTATCACTGGTTTAACATTTTGATTTTCTGAAGCTTGGAAGTTGTATTTATATAGTATTTTCACCTTTTTAGAAAGGCCTTGACTTCTATTTTTGTATTTTTTTTCTTTTCTTTTTGCTGCTTAGTTTTCTTAATCTGATACGCTGCTCACATTCAGTAAAAAATGAACTGGAAGTACCAAAATGTCTATAGTAAGAGGAATCATTAAAAAACCCCAACACCCTGCATTTGAACTGTTTGGAAAAGGCCTTTTTTGTGAAGAGGTTATCAGGGATGGAAAGGTTCTGCTAAAATAGACTTAGAGGGCTGAAATGTTACTATTTTGCTGAGTGATGCCATTAATCATCCTGATTTAGGGAGTAAAAGCATAAACAGGGTCTGCCTAGCTGTGAGGTTGCTATATTAATGTGTGTTTGTGGTAGATACAACAAATGATAGTGCAGCAGCCTCCTGCTGCCTGCTCTGTGTTCTTGGTAGTTTTTTTCTGCTGCCTGCTGTACTTGGCTGTCAGAATCAGAAAGGAGCAGTTTCTCTGACAAGTCCTGCCCCTTTTCCTGCCTCAGCATAATCCATCTTGCTGAGCATTCTGCAGTGCTCTGAGTGGAGTGCTTGCTGTGTCTCACTGGAGAGAATGACAGGAAGAGCTCTGGAGAATTGTTCCCAGGCTGCTGACAGCAATCACCTGGCATGTGAACACGTGCTGATACCAAGTGCTGACCTCTTCCTTTGCTGGGCAGGCTGATAAGGCATGGCCAGGTCTTGGTTAGGCTTTGGTGTGGCAATAATCCACTGAGAAGCTGGGCTGATATCAGGAATCTCTAGGAGAGTCCATGATCTTCCCTTAAATAACTTTGTTTCTGCAGCTGTTGTGCTGGGGAGGAGAGATTCACTTGCAGAATCTCTCTCACACTGTGAGAGATTAAAACCACAGAGCTTACATGATAGGTTGTTTTGTTTTTATTCAAACTCCAGGTAACGAGAAAATTTGGATTATAAATAGAAAGCTTAACAGTGGGAGTAATACAGTATATAGATCATTTGTGCACGTGAGTGAATGACCTTCATAACTAACCTCTGAGTCATTCCTGTGAGAATAAATTGGGCTACAAAACAATTAACTGCTCTGCTTGTACTTGCTGCTTGATACGCTAGACTGACAAAACTGGCCTGGTTTTAAATATGGACATAGTGCTTGTTTTGGAAATTTTAATAAATCCCATATTTCCATGCTTAAGTGTTGGTTAACTTCTATAGAGGTACTAATAGGTCATCTTTATATTGAGGAAAAATTGCTTTACATGGAAAAAAAAGAGGCTACAAAACAAAAATTGTCTGAGGTAGAAAAAATCTTGCCACTTGCTTGCCAGTGTATGTGAGATAAAAGTTTCGTCCTGTGTTGTTTTACTCAATAACTATGGAGGCTGGGAGGGGGTCGGGTTTTTTTTTAGCAGCTGCCCTTGTTCAGCAGAAATACATTGTGACATTTCATATTTAAGTAATTGCACAAAACCAGATGGTAACTTACATAGTTTTATTATCATATTGATTACTTAATGATGCATAATGCATATTGTATTAACTTGGTGATTTATCTTAAATCAGTTTGGATTTTTTTTGAGGTACCAGAAGTGGAACAAATACTGCATTTCTGACCTTCACTTTGTCAGCTGTGGTTCTGAACAGTCAGGCAGTCACACATCTTTCCTTGCTTTTATACCTCTATTGCTGCTATCACCAGGTTCTGCAGTTTTCATTAAAAGTTTATTCTGAGCTTTCAATACTGAAGAACTTGGTAAAATCATTGGTATTCTCAATAACTCTCATTCTGGGAGAGTTGTGATTGATGAAGAGAGAGTAGTTCCTAAACTTTTCTGGTTTTAATTGCAAGTATTATGTTTATTGACTTTCTGGTTTATGATTGCAATTTTTTTCTGTTGTTCTTTGTCTCAAGAGAATTAGAGAAAAGCAGTTTTCTGATAATTCTAGTAAATAAAGAGTGCTTGTGTAGGTGCTGGTGTTGTACCCCATGGCCTGACACCTCCCCCATCTTTTTTTTCCTTTTTGGAAAGAGACTATTGTCTTCCTGGTGGGGATGGAACAATAGCTGTTCTCAATGACATAACAGTGGAACTAGAATTTCAAATAACATTTTATCCATGACCCCCTTTCTCCTTTTTTTGCCCTCTCCCTCCTGCTTGGTACAGACTGAATGCCTCCTTGGGACACTGTGTGTAAACCTCCATGCTTTGCTGCTAAATGTGCAGCAGAATACGTGTTTGGAGTATCTAATGTGGCAGGTGCTAAATTAAACACTTGGAACACTTTAGGGTTATGAGTCATCAATCCCTGGCTGCTGTTTTTAGATTTCAATAATTAATACAACCTACCTGGAAGTTACTTTTCAGATCATGGTGATCCACAATAAATCATGAATACAAATAAGCTAGAAAGTTCAGGTACCTGAATGCAATATTTTCCATTAGGATTACTAGTTGTTAATGTTAAAACAGGTAAAATAAGAAAGTCAGCTACTTTATATATATAAAAATTATTTTTAGGTCCAGAAGCAAGCAGAATTTAGACCAGAAGGAGTATAGCAATTACCTTTGGGGGAGTCCTAGTTCAGTAGCCTCAAATGTTTCAAAGGAAGAATCTTACCTGTTAACAATTTTTTTAAAAAGAAATAATCCCTAATGATTAAATACAGAATCACTCAGTAATATTGACTCTTAAATGTTTTCTTCTGTTTTGTAGAAGACCCTTTTGAGGACTTCTTCGGTGGCAGGCGGGGTCAAAGGGGAAACAGAAGCAGAGGTGGGGGTGGATCATTTTTCTCTGCCTTTGGTGGATTCCCTGCTTTTGGAAGTGCTTTCTCTCCATTTGACACAGGTAAATATCATAACATTTAAGAAAGAATGCAATTTTGGCTCACAAAGGATTGCAGTACAACAAGCTGGCTTCTCCATTCAGGCAATTCTGTGACTTTTTTTTTTTTTTTTTAATTAAGATGGTGTCTGTAAGGTGTAAATGAAAATTAAGCCACTGTTAGAGTATTTGGGCTACCTGGAAGTTCATATAGAGTGAACAGATCTCTAATAAGTAGAACTTTCTGTTTTCTTTATTTTGGTGCTACAGTTTCTTCATGGCTTTAGAATTCTTTTGTTCTGTTTGCTTTCAGGAGTGTGATGGCTTTAATTACAGGTCCTGAAAATGTGCCTAAACCCCATGGTGCTGCTTAGAGTGCTGGGAATCTGGGCATTGGTTGGGGTGTTACTGATCCAGGACTTGTTCTGTCTGCCAGCTTGGGGCATCCCAGCATCTGCACTAAAGCTGATGAACACATTCATTAGGGTTGCTGGCTTTCCCCTGAGTGCAGTGTGGATAAAGGTTGAATGCCTTTTCAGGGCAGGAATTGGCAAATGGTTTTTGGACAATGCTGTGCATTTGGAAGCTGAACTGTGGGACCATATGAGAGAAATGGATGGGGCTGGAGCCATGGTTTTATTCTCAGGCTGGTGTTAATGCAATCTAGTCACTGATGCTGTGTGATGAAACCAGCTGAAAGTAGGATGAAGTCTGAGTGGATGATAAGTTTGGATCCCACAGCGATGCAAAATTACATTTTATTCAAATGCCTTTTTTTTCAATAGGTTTTACTTCGTCGTTTGGCTCCCTGGGACATGGAGGCCTTACTTCATCATTCTCCTCTACGTCATTTGGTGGCAGTGGAATGGGAAACTTCAAATCAGTATCAACCTCAACTAAAATAGTTAATGGCAGAAAAATTACTACAAAGAGGTAAGTGATGTAAAAATATTTATATGAAACTAGATGTAGAGACTTACATACCTATAGTTACATGCATATAAATATATTGTATCTTGGCACACACACATATAATGATACATGTCTTTATGTTTTACTTTTGTTATGTTCATCATATTGGATTTCTCTGAATGCTTAAAAACATCTTGAAATACTTCATTGGGTTCTCTCTCTCTTCTTGGCATTGTTGAGTTACTTAATGCTGTAGCTGGAGCTCTTTTAGGCTTCAGAACCTCCTGTGTAGGGCTGCAGCTTTTATTATGGTCCTTGACTAGAAACTGGGAAGAATTTTAGTTTTGCAGATGTTATGAAAGAATTTTCTCTAGCATCTGCTTAGTGTGCTTTCCTAGGCAGTGTTTGAGTGAAGTCTTTCTAGTAATTTTTTTCTGTCTGTTAAATGAAATAAGAAACTGAAGCCTGCTTTGGAGAAAAAATATGCCTGCTTGTTGGAAAGTGAATTTTCAAGTTCTGTACGTAGTGTTGTGCTTGTGATGGGCAAATCCTTGCATTTGGGAAATCCAAGTCTTAGTTAACTTTAGAAAAACCTACATGGAATATTATAATCAATATAGGAGTACTGAACAATTAAGTAATTTCATTACTTAATCTAAAATTACAGAAAAGTGAAGGAGGATAAATTGGTTTTGTTTGTTAACTTGGGTCCCATACTTGTAAGTGCAAGGTTCTTCTGTGAACTGTTTTACTGGAGAGCTCCTGTCATCTTGACCACTTGATAACAAACAGCCTCTGGATTACATGCTGCTGTGGTCATAATATTTTTCTGAGTGTATGCCAGAAAAATCTGAAAACTCAAAAACTCTTTAATAATGTCTCTTTTCAATCAGGGATACTTGAATTTTGTAACATGCATGCTGGTCATAAAGTTGGTGTATAGTAAGTCTACAAATTACTTGCTCTGATCAAATTAAAAATGGATTTTAGACTTTCTTGTGTACAAAATTGTGATTGGATCTAGAATATCATACATTTAACAAATGGGTAGGGACTAAATGCAGTGTCAAGATTGTGCAGTTGATCTGTCAAGGCCTTTAGGCCTAGATAACAGTGTGTAGTGTGAGCACAGCTGTGACAATGACAATGTATGAGGTGGCAGCTGTAACTGTGAACTCCACATCCTGGAGGATTGCAGCTTGCAGAGGGCAATTTTCCTGACTAAGCAGTGGGGAAATGAGCTGGGTGCTGGTGCCAGCTCTGGTGAATACCAAAGCTTGCCAAGTACAGTTGCATTAAGCAGGTGCTGCTCCCTTACAGTTTGTTATCTAAACCCGAGCTCTGGTGTGTGTTCAGAACTCTCATGGTGTTTTTGTCCTGCAGGATTGTTGAGAATGGACATGAGAGAGTAGAAGTTGAAGAAGATGGCCAGTTAAGGTCGCTAACAATAAATGGTAAGGAGCAGCTGCTACGCTTGGATAACAAGTAATTCAACGCACGCATTTAACAGAAATTTTAAGCTCTAACAGCCACCATTTGAGGATTGACAGGAACATTTTTTGAAGATTTCAAACGAATTCAACTTTCTGTATATCCGTACTCAATCTTAAGTAGTATAAGTAGCTCACAGAAGCTCGTATTTGTCATAGACTTTTGAGTTAATTGTTGGGACCACATCAATTGGACCATTTTTTGTCCTTTAAATTGTTGTAAACTTCTGTATGCACTTTTCTTTTCTTATCTGTGATCAAGGTGAACCATGATCCTTCAGTAGTGCTAGGGCGAGATGTACACTAACACTAGCATGAATCTTGCTTTTTCCAATTTGAAATGTGAGCCAATTAGTAGTTCAAGTCTGCTGTGAAGTTAACAGTTCCAGGATAACCTTTTTAATAATTTCAACTTTTTTTTTTTTTTTTTTTTTAATGTTTAGTAGTGAACAATGTTAATACATTTCTGGTAATGCATTTCTGGTTTAAATAAATTAAGGATGTTTTCTAGTTGTGCATGAATGCAGACGACTTTAGTAAGTTTTGACAAATGTTTAAATGTGTAATGTAAGCAAAAGGTAAACAAAAGTGAAGCCAGTGAGCTGAGTCTTTTGTCATTTGCTAAAAAAATTCAAAATGAATAAATGCTGATGTTTGTGGTGCATTCTTTCATGAATGGCATTTGTAACCTTCCTGTGTCTGTGTGTGATTTGGGCAACTTGGGAAAACGGTGCTTTTTTTTTTTTCCCCTTTACCATCTTTTCTTCAATCTTAAGGATGAGGGCCTTTTTTCTTTGCAGATGTTTTCTTCAGTGTGACTGAAAACATTATTTTTAATTTCATTTCTAAACCTGTATTTGAAGCACCTATTTTAAGAAGCATTCAGAGGCTGACTCTCTAACTCCATCTTTTGCCCTAATATGTAATTTTTTTAAGTCTAGACTGAAAGCAATTCTGTTTTAAAAAGTTTTCTAAAGTTGTTCTGAGATTTGCTTTAAAAATAATCTGTAGTAAATATAAATATACATTTGATAAATTTATTTATTTAACATTTAATAGTTACAAAAAGACTTGAGAATTATGAGATTTTTTTTTTGCTGTTTTGAGAACAAACAATTGCTTTGAAGATTTGGACAAAATTGTTAGGATTATGATATCTCACTCTTATTTTTAGTCCTCAACCAAAAATCAAAAGATGGATTAATGCCCTTTGTTAAATTAATGGAGTGAAGTAAAGTGTTCATTTGTAGCTAAGACCAGATTTTCAAAGTTTAGTGGAAGATGACTTGGTTTTGGTGTGTCACAGAGAAAGCAGGCAGGTAACTAATGGTGTCTGTTAGCACCTGCCAGGTTCTGGATAGTTCCATGCATAGATCATGGATGTGCAGCTTTCATCTGTGCACCAGCTTTGAACATCTGGCCTGCACAAAACCCTTCAGGGTGGCTTAGTGGTTTAAAAAAAAAAAAAAAAGCATGGTGTTTTCAAATGATCACCTAATGCCTTCTTGCTGAACACCATCTGCTTTGTACTAACAAATGTGTTGATTATTAAATACATTGAAAAGATATGCTCTTGTTTTTCATGCAGGAAAACCATTTCAACTTAAGCCAAACCAAGCGAACAAACTGCTACAACAGAATTTGTATTTGCAGTAAAGTTAGTATATTGTACTTTTGTCCCTCTACCATTAATGCTAATTTGATAGAACTGAAAAAAAAATAACATGTAGAAGAAAAAATAAATATATACTTTGGTTTTGGGACTAAAGGAGTTATAAACCTTTTCAAGTTCTTTGCAGAGTTCCTGTCACTTCAGTGTTGTGTTTTTGATGTAGAAGCACAAACTTAGTTTAGAACTAAACAGTGTTTTCTTGTTAATGCTGTTTTTTCCCCCTCCCCATGTATGTTACTTCTTGATCCAGATAACTAAACATGACATTTATTTCAAAATTTGGCTTTGTTGTGATGTCTTGAGTTATTAAAAATGTTAATTTATATTTATAGGATGCAGTGTGCTCCTTTAAATTATGTAAATTGTAAAAAGTGCTTTAAAATTGATTAACCAAGTTAAATAAAATTAGGACAATCTGGAGTTGAGTTTGAATGCCTTCCTCTGGATACCCATAGATTTTATATTAAAGTGCCAAACTTTGCCTTCTAGTTTTATTCCAAGTCATCTTTAACATTTCAGTTGCCTTGCTCAGGTTAGGAACACAGTTAGGGTACCCACATGTTTATCTTCTTACCCAGGAAAGTGTGATCCTTCTCACAGTGTTACACACCAACAGGTCACACCAGGGTTCTGAAGTGAATTTTTTAACACTAAATGTGCTTAGGATCCAGTTTTTTGGATAGTCTCTGTTCTGCCTTCAGATCCCTGAAGCTGCTTGTCAGAGCTGGCCAGAATGCAGCATTAAAGTGGCAGTGCTGCATTTCCTTGGTGGAAAGTGGCAAAACACAGGGAATGAGGCAGCAGTAGGCAGAATTTGGCAGTAGATTCCTGCAGGAGTGAGATACCCACACACACCAGCATTTCCATGGGCTGGTAGTTGAACTGGATGTGTGGTCTTCATCCAAATATATCATTGGACCAGCAATTCCAGTTCCAGGCTTAAAAAATTGTCATTGTTCACTTGACCTAAACCTAACAGTCTCCGTCTCTTTGAGTGTTTTTTGAAATAACATCACATCCAACTTTTTTTTTAATGCAACTTCTTGCATTCAGCTCCTTTTTAAAACCACAAAATAAACTCACATTCTATGTTTTATTCAGATTTTTTTTGCTGAATTTAGTTGTTTTCTCCTGAAAACCCACTTGTTAGGTTGCTTTGAAAAAAAAATTTAATGTTGTTCCTTTCTAATCCATAATTTGCATAGATGTACAAGACCTGTTTATTAGAAGTGATAGATCATCAAGGGCAGCACATTTCCTTACACTTCAATTTTACAAAATAATACAAAATAATTAACAACAGAAAAAGTTCCTGATGGCAAATGCTAGGTACAAATATACAGTGGGATGAGGCAGCTTTCAAAACCAGGTGCTATTGGATTGAAAGTGCCATCTTTTCATACATGAGGGATTAATTTCGAATGTTTAGAGACACCATCCCATTTAAATTAAACTTCCTGGAAAAACAGTGGTTTGGAAAAACCAAGATGGAGTTTTTGAACCTGCTAAGTCATTTAGTCTTTCATGCTCTGCTTCAAAGTTCATTGGTGGATACAAGAACTTTGTGATGCTTTCTCCTGGTGCACCCTCTTTGCAGTCCCTCGTGCATGGCAGTAATCCCAGAGCAGCACACTAACCCCAGTTTCTCTGTAGATTGCATGGCACCTGCCCCTTCCCCTTGGCTTTCCTGAAGGAGTTTGGGATTTTGTGTTGGAATGCTTCACACTGTTCAGTGGCTGCACTCCTGCAGGGCTCAGTTCTCACAAGACCTTCTCTGCTGGGGATCAGAGGGCTTGGTTGGTGCTCCAGGTGACAGAGCTGCTCTGCAGAGAGTGTGTGCAGCATTTGTCAGGTGGATCCTGTATCAACTTGTGAATAATTGATGAGCTCAGTTAGAATGCTGAAAACAAGATTGTAAAAGATTTAAAAACCCATCATCTCTAAGCCCAGAGGGTTTGTATCTCTTCTCAGTGTTTGTGTTTGGTTATCCTGTTTCCTTGACTCCTTCAGTGTTTTGGCATTAGGTGTAACTGGAGGTTTATCTTTTGTATTGAGCTGTGCTGTGTTTCAGACCATCTGTGGGATAGTCCAGTGATAAAGTTAGATTTTAGTTTTTATTTTTGGAAATGTGAGTTCCTGAATCTGCTTCTGTTCTGGTTGAGCAGTGAGCTCCTTTGCCTGAGTTTAATCTGTGGTTGTAACAGGATAGTGCTTCTGAAGATGGTTGTGCTGCATAGTGAATGCTACAGCTGTTTGATTCTCGTGGTCAGAGAACCTTTGAAAAGGGCCTAGTACTTAAAATACTTGTTAACCTTTTTGTGGAAGTGTTTCTTAGTATTTTTTGAAAATTTGCCTCTTTGGTTGTGATTTTTGGATGTTCTAGTTATTAAGGCTTATTTTTAAGTCATGGTATTCTCATGGGTTAGTGGCAATATGGACATCAGTAATCTGCCAGAAAGCCTGTTTGCACTGTCTGCTCCCTCAGGGCTTGTTTACTTTACGATTCAGCTATGACCACAGACTTGATTTGCCTCAACAAAGACAGTTTGGGTTTTCTTGTTATTGTTTGTCTTAAAGTGGTCGTTGTGGTACAGAACTCCTTACCTTCCACCTGAAATGCTGAAATGGTCCTTACATTGCACTAGGGCTGGAATGGAGAATGTTGGCTTTGTTAGTGTTACAAACTGTACCTTTGAATTTGTAATTCTAGTGGATTTCCTACTTGGTTTTTAAAAATATATCTTGGCTAGAGTTGGTTGTTGAGTAAAGTGCACTCCTGAAAGGTTAAAGCTGAAGATGGTTGGTTTATTCTCTGCTATATAGGTCATACATTAACAAAATAGTAAACCTTATGTTGAGGTGCTGTCAGATTAAAAAAAATCACGAAAGAATGAAAATCCTGTGATGATCAGAGCCGTAACCATGAACCTCTGCAAGCTGTGCTGATTTAAACTCACTGAAACTTCTCTGAATACTCTGTTGTGGCAGACTCAGTGCTGCATTAGGTGTTATCTCACTTACAACAGCTGGTAGAAAGTTAATCAAAGCCCCACATGAGTACTTTATGCTCTGTCATGCTGCTGTGGCCAAAAGATAGGAGGAGTTTGGAGGTGATAGTGCCCATGCCTGAAAGCTGGGCTGTCCTGGTGTGAGGTAGATTGCACTGATGGCCTGACTGCTAATTGCCTTCTAACAGAATAAAGGAAGACTTTCAGATGTTGTCAGATTCAAAATGCTGTGGTGGGGATTAAAGTATGTTTAATTGAGAAGATAAGTAAAACATTTTATCAGA